TTGTGATTGATTGCATCTCATCTGAAGCTGGCTTACAGCAGGACCTACATTTTTATCTAAAATGCAATGTCATCCACTTGTGGCTAAACTCGACTGAAAAAGGGGAGATCAGCAAACCTTGAACCAGAATGGAGATACTGCAGCAGAGCTATCCATCACACGCTGCCCTACCAGCATGGGGTCATTTATCTAAGTAGATAGTGTTATGCTTAGCGACACAGATTGAAACACTGATTAGAGGAGCCATTACCACAGTTAAACTCCTGTTGTGCTTCCACCAAGCACATCTGTCATCATAATGGAAGAAAGCATACATGTTTTGCTCTATTCACAGAAATCAAAAGATTCAAAGCTGCTATTAGGGTCAAAATACAGCCTTATATTTAGTATATTTATAAAAGTGTGCTGACATTTCGAGTAAATTTGACATTTTATTCTTTTCTTTTATATACAAGTTTTACTTCATGTAATATGAAGTGTATTAACATAATTATATTATATAATTATAATGATTCGTTATTTGGCCAAGGAATGCTGTGCAAAGCATTTGGCTCTGTTGTAAGAGCTCTGAACTATGAACAGGGAGATCTGAAACCAAACACTGTTTTAGGGACTTTGATTGCTTGTGATGAGTACATTTTGTACCAGGCAGCCTTCCCATCTCTGTCCTGACTCTTTCTGTCCATGTCCCAAATCATAAACACACAAAACTATTATATACAAGGGTTAATTATTCCTAAATAAACTTTCAGTCCAAAAGGTGGCAGCAAAACTTCAGTTTTCACAGCATGGCTTCCAGCTTTAAGCCTGCAGTAAAAAAAAAAGTAAAATAAATTTTAGTATAAACGCATTAATTATTAATGTCTTAAATGACTGCCTTCTGACATTTAAGCAATATTGGGTGAGTGGTAGTGCTATATTATGAATATGAGTAATCAGTATATATTCAATTATTATATATTATTATTAAAACAGTAATTTTAATTATGAACCTACCTGAATTTGGATAGATTTATGGCTTAAAAGAAAATCAATTTACCAATAGGGTAACAAAAATAAACATAGTTCAAGATATATTATCTAAAAATGTCAAGCAACTGCTTTTCAAGGAAACGTATCTTGTTTGAAAGATAATTAGTTTTTTTTTTCCTGGAAAACCTGAAAAAATACTTTTTTTTGGTGGGGTGCCTTATTGTTTTTCAAAATGACATTCATTATTAAAAATTATTAAAGATTGTAATATTCATTCAAGAATATTTCATTAGTAATGTTCATTAAGTGGCACATTTCTGCTAAAGGATAGAGTCCCTGACAGGTGAACAGGTGTTTTGTGTATTTTGGGACAGGAAAACTGTATTGACCAATCAGCATTCAGGACAGGCACCATATGTTTTTATACTGACTGCAGAAAAAAAAAACAGTTAGTAGATAACGAACAAAAAATATCACTCACTTTAGAACGTACTGACCTATCATGTGCCATTCACACGCTCAAAAGCAAATAATTTGGACATTTTAGGCTGAGAAGAGTGCACTATTTTAAACATAAATGTCTAGATATGGAAATGATAATTGACTTTTGATAATTTAGGGGATTCGTGGCCTAATGGTTAGAGCGTTGGACTCGTAACCCAAAGTTTGTGGGTTCGAGTCTCATACTGACAGGGATTGTAGGTGGGGGGAGTGAATGCAATACCATGCTTTCTCCCACCTTCAATACCATGGCTGAGGTGCCCTTGAGCAAGGCACTGCTCCCTGGGTGCTGCAGCATAAATGGCTGCCCCACTGCTGTGTGTGTGTGTGTGTGTGTGTGTGTGTACTTACACTCTTAAAAATAAAGGTGCTTCTTGCCATAGAAGAACCTTTTTGTCTAAATGGTTCCATAAAGAACCTTTAACATTTGAAGAACCTTTCTGTTTCACAAAAGGTTCTATGTGGAGAAAGAAGGTTCTTCGGATTATAAAAAGGTAAGAAAGAGATGGTTCTTTAAAGAACCTTTGACTGAATGGTTCTTTGTGGAACCAAAAAGGGTTCTTCTATGGCATCGCTTGAAGAACCTTTTGAAGCACCTTTATTTTTAAGAGTGTAGGATGGGTTAAATGCAGAGCACTAATTCCAAGTATGGGCCCCAGACACCATACGTCCCCCCCTTTTTTTTGACTGCTGACCTGTATTGTGTGCTTGGATTGATCACTGCAAGATTGTGGTTTTACCTGAACATGTTTACATCTCTGCAAGCTGTGTTTTGGAACAAGACAGTTCCACAGTTTCATTTGATTTAATTCTTATCTAGGCAGTGATAATGACAATAAGTCAATAATAACAAGCAAAGGCCTGCTTTCCAAGCAGAACACAGCATGTTAGCCTGGATAACAGTCACTGTTTGTCTTTGCATGCATAGAATCAAAGTAAAGCTTTGGTGTATTGTACACATTAGGTAACATTCAAAGAGAGCATTTGTATTACACATTCTCCAGCCTCAGGCACCTGCTGTATATTCAACCCGTCAGTGTCACATTATTCACCCCAGGTTCAGTGTAACAGTACAGCAGGGAAGGACTGGGACTACTGGGACTGGGAAAAAAGCCCAGAACCTTTTCCGGCCCAACGCCACCCACAGTGAAACATTTTCCACCATATGTATTCTGTGTGCACATAAGGCAAACCATTGCTTGCTGCATTATATATAGGCAGCACAATAGCACATTTAAATTGCAGAAAAATATAAATGATTATATATAATGGAAAATTGGTATACATACAGTATATACATATATATTCCACCATATCTTCTACATACATAATACAATTTATTTTATCTGTGAAAACCATTTCTTGATGCCTTATCTACAGCTATAGCTATCTAGCCATCAATCTGATCGATCGATTGGTCAACCTATCCATCCCTTTCTCTCTTTCTCTCTCTATAAACCACCAGTCAAATGTTATGCTCACCAAGGCAGCATTTATTTCATGAAAACTACAATAAAACAGCAGTATTGCAAAAATATTATTATTTAAAGTAACTGTTTTCTGTTTATATGATGCTGAAAATGTTGCTTTGATCACAGAAATGAATTCTATTTTAAAATATATTGAAAAAAAAAATCAGTTATTTGAAATAGTAAAAATATTTCACAATATTACTGCTTTTGCTGTATTTTGGATCAAATAAATGCAGGCTTGGTGAGCAGAAGAGAATTCTTTAAAAAAACATGAAACATCTTAGTGTTCACAAACTTTTGACTGGTAGTGTATGTAATGTAATGTATTCCTGTGATCAAAGCTGAATTTTCATATCATATGATCATATGTCATATGATCCTTCAGAAATCATTCTAATATGCTGATTTGCTGATTTGACTTTTGCCGCTTAATATTTTGTGAAAACTGTGATACTTTTTTTTCTTCAGTATTCTTGAATAGAAAGTTCAGAAGAACAGCATTTATTTGAAATAGAAAATTTCTACAAATCAGATTTGAAGGATAATGCGACACTAAAGACTAGAGTAATGATGCTGAACATTTTAAGTTGGAATAATATTGTACACACGTCGTACTGTTTTATACTGCATTTTTTATATCACGTCAGTTAATCTGTTTTTGCAGTAGGGCAAACGGTCCAGTGTTCTCTGATGACAGATTGCACTCACCAAGCCTATACAAGAAACTCTTCATGTTTGTCTTTAAAGCAATCTCTCGTGTGACGCACTTGATGTTTTTTGTTCTCAGATTGTGTTACAAAACCAAAACACTTGGATTCAGAGAGCTTATTCAGCATATAATGGAATCATTTCATATCCCACAGTCTGTTATTCTCTGCACTTCACAGCTTCTGCCAGCAGAGGGCCAAATAACCAACCCATATGACCCCATGCTGGCAAAGTCCTTAAATGCACCAACATGTCTCAACCGCTTTACACACTCAATAAAGCAATCTTAATTCACCTATTCTCTGCTAAATTAAATTTCTTGAACTCCTATTAAGGGGCTTTCGATAAGTCTTATTACACCATAAATTACATTTCAAGCGATGATCCAGAAAAGCATTTAACACGCTATTAAATAAGCACAATGCATTGAATTGAGGAGCTCTGCACTAGACATACAATGCAATAATTAAACATCATATTATATAGTATTATCAGACTGTCAAATTTCAGAGCTGGCTCAGGCAGAGCACTGGCCCTACAGTAATAACATGTGCTTTATAATCGGTCTTTGATTGAATTTCAATGGAAAGTTCAGCTACAGATGTGACGAAATCATATTTCACACATTTCAAACATGCTCAGTGGAACATTGCAAGGTGTTCGGAGAATTTATTGACCATTGAATGATTTTTAAAGGATGTTTATCTCATGTTAAGCAATATGATGGGAATCCTATTGACGCAAAGTTCTAAATCTGATTCACATAAATCTCTCCCTGAAATAGGAATTTAATAAACAAAACAGATAGGATTACTGACCTTTAACCGTTAACAAATAATGCCAGAGAATGATACGCTACTAAACAATTTCTAAGGGACATTAAACACTTTTAACTCATACATATAGGTACTTAAGCAACATTTCTCTCTTTAAAAGGCAAGGAATGGGAAAAAAAACTGGTAAAAGGCAAACAAGACTGATAGAAACATTTTAGCAATGAATCACTGGACACGGAACACTGCACACAAGCAGTATTTGTACCAGCAGAGTCGAGTTTGAATTTAATAGCCTTAGGAAAGCGAGACCAAACTAACTAAAAAACTACATTTGTGTTGATATAAACAGGGGAAGTACTATGTGTTTGCTCTCTCTCAGGGTCCCGCCCGTGGCAGCACTGAAGTGCACATGTTAAAGAGCATGCTTTTACTCCTTTCCTAACTTTGCTCCTCCCTCAACATCACATGAGGGGAAAGTAGGCGGGATATTTTTGTGAACTGATCGGCATGCTTTGCCAATCAGAGCGATTGCTCCTCCCTCTTTTCCAGCCCTCTCCTCCATCCCTCCACCTCCTCTTTCGCTGTCTGCACTGTATGCACGCACAAGGGCAGGGAAAAGTGCGGGGCAGGAGACAGCGAGAAGAAAAAAATCAACAAAAAAACAGAAGCTGCTTCTGTGTTTTCTTTCAAACGCATTCCCGCTGCATCATTACCAGAGAACAGGCACCCCCGGCTCACAAAACCTGCGTTGCGTATGCGTGTGCGCACAACTCAGTCGAGAAGAACCAACTCACAGAAGCTTCTTCTCCTGTAGCACCTGGCACACTTGGTGGACTTGAGAAGGAGGCAGGTGCCCTTGAAGATCACCTGGGAGCAGGTGGAGGAGAACCTGTCACGGCTACCGTCTGACTCCCACGTGGGGGGACTTGTCCTGATGTCAAACGAGGAGTGCCGTTCGCCCATCGGCCTGGACTGCTGCAGCTGCTGTCTGGATCTGGCCAATGGCTGTGAGCCTGAGCCGGGCCGAGCGGGTCACACCAGCCTGGGAAGCCCTACATCCGTCAACCACTTCAGACAGCTCCGAGACCAGCTTCACTTTCAGAACCTAAACACAGATAAGCTCAACAACATCATGAGACAGGACTCGTTGGAGTCGGTGGTCCGGGACCCCTGTTACCTGCTCAACGAGGGCATCTGCAACAGCAGCATTGACCAAACCATGCTGTCCATACTGCTGTATTTCCACAGGTATGTGAAACTACTCGTGCATTCACACACCTGCTCTGGCACACTCGTCTAGCTCAGCTCATAAAAACTGTAAAAGTCTCTGCCAGAGCTGTGATTTCCGGTTAATGGCCAATGTTGGGATGTTTGAGTTTGATGACAACAACATGCTGTGGTTTCACTTGTGTAATTCTGGCCACCTCCTGACTGACTGGTTATGGATGACTTTAAGTGGTAACACTACCATTTAGTTTAAACCAAGCTCATTTTAATGTAGTTCATCATTTACTAATTGTCAACCACCAGCCAACACCAATAAGTGTTGCACACACACTGAACACTACTAGTTATTTACATTTCTTGATGAGTAACATGATTAAGGACCACGCTCAACTGTGCTATTTAAGAACAGGGTGGCTTGCAGTCTCAGTAGGGTTCCAGGAATGTGTAGATTGGTATGAAGAACATGCCTTTGCACAAACTTAAGAGGATCTTGACTCTTGAGTCAGTCCGGTTCTCACTTCTTAAATACACCCCATTCATTGCAACTCATCAGGTTCATGCAATGGTTTTGTGCAAATATTCTAGTTTTTTTTTTTTTTGCACAGAAAGTGCATGTGGATTTTTCTCCCCAACCAGTCCGATTTGCAAAACACACTTACAAAACACATGGGCAATTTACATACCATTCTGGCATAGTCTATCGCCCCATAGCTGAAGTATGCAGCAAAACAAATTCCTTTCCAGGTAATATGCATGTTTATAAAATTTAATGGTCACAGGAGTTTCCAAAACAACCATGGATGCATTAAAATCTCATAAACCTTTAACACTCGCTTCAATCTCAGTGTGTATGCATAATATTGAATTTTGGAACAATCCGATGTGATGTACTACAGTGTCAAAAATGGATCGCAAGCTATCCACAGCAGGTATTTGGCAAAAGTGTCTAATCAGGATCAAGCTCACAGCGCATTTTTCCATGAAACCATGCTCTCCAAACTGAAAATAAACATATATGGAACATATATCAGGATAGTTTGCTAAAATCCGATAGTGTTTGAAATGTTTAGTCTGCGGAAGATTTAGAAATGAGGACTAGTGGAAAAATAGACAGCTAAAGCCAGGTATTAGAAAAAAGACTGAACTATATTTAATTGACATTTGCAGCCAAATGATAAGAATGTATTTCTATGTGTTGTTATTGTAACACACCACCTTTGGATTTGACTTTGGAAATATTCACTGTCAGCACAGCTAAATGTTTATAGCTAGTCTGCATATCTGCTCAAATTGCTATCTTAATTTTTGACAGCAGTAGTAAAATTGGTTAATAACCATCCAGATATCAACAGTCAGAAAATCGTTATTTCTTGGGGTTATAAAATTCATATTTGAAACAGCTATTGTAAACGAAAAGATTGCAATCTGAATGACTAATGAAAGGAGCATGGCATGACATAATAATGAGACATATTGCATATGAAAAAGGGAGTTGCCATAGCAACTCTTGTCTTAAAACTATCTCATAATATTGCATTTAAAAGAACAAATATGCATATGAAAGTAGGGATGTCAATTGACCTTTTTTTGCAATTAATTTAATGACATGCTATGCAGATAATGATATTATTTGATATTAATTAATAACAATAATTAACAAAATGCATAAAATAAATAAATAATCCAACAACCCTAATAAATATTTAAAACAAGAACGTTTAAAGTTCTAAATACGATGCAATAAATGATATGCAATATAAATGTACTCTACTGTGGAATCTTATTTATGGCTGTTCTGATTCTTAAAATGCGATAAAGTTGCTCAGCATCTAATCTTGTCTGTTTTGCGACAAGACAATATACCTCTTAAACTTACTGGGACGCCTCTGAAACAAGATTCCTAGTGTGCCGGTTAATGTTTAATCTTCTTTATCGGGGTGTACTCAGTTTTATACGTGGCAGTGAAAGGTTAGTCTACATAATTAGGTTTACTTTATGAGCCTGGTGTCGGGATGCAAACAAGAGCAGTCTGCATGGGACCTCTGGCCCAAAGACTCTTCACAGTCTCAGTTACTAAATACACAGAGTTCAACAGCCCTCTGTTCTAATATCATCAAATAGCCATTGTTAGTCTGTACACCAACCCGTTCTTGTATTCCATGACAGGAAAGGCATCTTTTTCATGTTGGACTGTTCTATGCCATGGGATACTTTCCCTGTGATCCATGATTTCAAAAAGTAACACTCTATTGTCTTATTGATGAGATGATTCCTTTCTCTCATCCTTTACACTGTATAATATTTCATATTTCACACCTCTTGCAGACTAAATACCGACTTGTTTGTGTTTCACACAAAGGTCCTTGATGTCTTAAGAAATGAACATAGTGTTATTGATGGAACAATTATAAGAAAGGTGTGTCTGTTTAGTAGTATGCACGATACAAAGTAACAGAGTCCTGCCAACAATAAGTCCTGTCCACTAAACCCTCAGATAAATTGCAAAAATGCCAGTTTATTTACTTAATATGCAGAAATGTAATCCACATCTCCAGGCATGCAGAGACATGGATCCAGACATGCCAAGCAGAACAGCTCATGATCTACACTATAGTGTCTGGAAGCCAGTGTTTTTGGGAATTATCCGTGGGGATTTAAATAAAAGGTGTGTTTCTGGTGCCTGGTGAATGGAAATAGGTGATTGCATAACACATTAAAAGTGCACTATATATGTATAAGTGTGTGTGTGTGTTAAATATTTTTGTTTTAAACATGTATTAGGGCTGTTGGATTATTTATTTATTTTACACGTTACTTTTTAAATTATTGTGATTAAATCATTTCATGATAATGCAATAATATCAGTTAATCTCATTATCTCCATATCATTTAATTAAATGTATTAATTAAATATATATATATGCATAATTAGTAGTACTTACATTTTTGATTTACTAATTTTAATTGAATGCTATACTCAAAGTTTCTAAAATACAAAAATTAAAAAGACATTTTTATTGCATTAGTTAAAAAAATAAAAATAAAATAATAATAATTCTGACAGCTCTAATCTTTAACACAAACAAATATTTAAATATCCTTGGTGAGCTCTAAATATAGAGCAATAAATATACATTTTTATACCATATATATTTATTCTTCAGTGTAATTTTGTATGACTCTTCTGATTCTTAAAATGTGAAGTTGTTGCTTAGAATCTGATATCACTATCTAACTGGTTCTATGACAGTTTAGGACAATAAACTTCAGATGACTGAGAACTGACATATGATGTCCACAACCACTACACCACAAAATATCTGTTCCAAAAAATGTTAAGCTCATATATTGATGCAACATATGAACAGCATTTGAAAAATAAAGAAAAAAAGTGTGTCGTGTCATTATATAAACCAGGAACATAAACAAAAATGTAAAGAGAATTGAGAATAAGGCCGTTCACCTGCAAAAAAAAAAAAGTAGTATGACTCATAAATACACAAGACTCTTGGAAGCAATGTTCTACTTAAATCACACCCCAGATCCAAATGCTGAATAGGCAAAACCTTGCAAAAGGCTGTCTACGCCCTCATAAACATCATGAAATGACAACACTGTACCACCCTTCAAGGACGATGTCCATGTGAGATAACATCTGAACCCTCAGCCTTGCCCAGACTGACCCCAATATCTCTGACCAAACAGATTAACAAACAAAATTCAGAACTGCTCGTTCTCAAGCTTCTGTCCCAAGTGAGAATTTTTGGCTGCTCCTTAAAATTCTTTTAACAAGAATGTTGAATATGTGCTACAGAGATTAGATAGATAGATAGATAGAGAGATAGATAGATAGATAGATAGATGTTCACTCAACTATCATACAAATTCTTTGTCTGCAGCCGGCATGTAAAAGGGTTACATTACGTTCTTTCTCAAGACGTTGAAGACTTGTTGAAGCAGAGACTTGAGCAATCTCTATCAATATACGCAAGTAGTACTGATATGTCAAAAATACTAACAATGAACCTCTGTATACTGCCAAGTCTACAGCACAGGACAAAAACGTATCAAAAGATGCAACTATTTTGCAAGAGGTCCTCCTAAAGCCTGCAGGATATTTCCCGGAAGGGAACACGCAGCAGACTGTTACATAAAACCCCGGGGTCATTAGGGTTTCGGTGGTTTTGGCTGAGTGGTCTTTCTCTCAAAGTTGTTTGGAGAATGTCAGCCTGATCCTGCACTATAAGCGTGAAGAAATCAAGGCTTTGATAAACCCATTATTCCCATCCATCCCTGGCTCTCTGTGGCCTCACAGGCCTATTTATTTGACATGGTCATCACTATAAAGAAGATCAGCTATACACACATTACACCGCAATCTGAAGACATGCTTACCACTCCCAGCTGTGTCAACAGAAGCAGGAATACTTCAATAAGACTTCTGTTTCAAAAGAATAGCAACAATCTAAATGCTGATTGGATCAGATTTGGAACAATCAGTGACGATGTGGAAAATTAACCACAGACTGCAATGCTGTGACATACCATTTAGCTGATATACAGCACTGGGGTTTCATTTTTATTGTTTATCACTCGATTCGTAATAACATACTCTTACTATTTTTTATGCTTTATTGTATCTGAAATGTATCGCAGAAGTAGCAAGAGTAGTATGCTAGTATACTATTTCAAATTCAGCCACTGTTTGAATCACCATTTTGCATGAAAAATTGGCAATGCGACTTCTCCTTGGATAAGAGCATATAATACTAACATAATATGAGTACAGAGTTATAAAACTGCGTTTACCAACCTGCGTTTATTTCACCATTATGTGTTCTATGTTTGTGATGATGCTAGATGAATGGAAATGCACAAGACTAACGCTGTGCGGTTTGCTGCGAAAAATCATGCTCAGATTCACAGCAAATGTGCACACTGTGAAAACCACCAGTTTGTGCATTAAACATTAGCTATGTTTTCTTTTTAGTCAATCTTTCTGCAGGATAAATGAATATGCC